CAGACTAGCCCAGAGGGAACTGAGACAAAACCTAAGGAAAATGCTTTAGGAGGAAATGGATGAAAAAATATTTGGAACCTTAGTGCTTTAATAAATGATTTTCCTGCATTTTGGCATATTATGTGTAGCAACCAGCAAGACAAACAGACTACAGCCTAAAAAGTGCAGATAAATAGATTATCTCATATGGCACTGTATATTGTACGTGCAAAACTAGCTGTAAATATTTAGATAATGTAAATTCAAATGTTTATGGACAGATTCTTTTTCTTGTACTTTGTGTGCATTGTGACGATGAGGGACAATAGTTAACATCTGGATTATTCAGGGAAGAGGTTGTTTCTTTGGTTAAAAGGGAATAAAATTGAAGTTAATTCTAATACTAAGTTATTAATGCACTTATGTATCACCTTGTCAGGGTAAAGCATATTTGAAATCAGTGAAAATACAGACTGTTAATTTTGGGACAGTTCTGTACTCTACCAAAGTGGACAAAAATCAAATCACCTCTGCTCAAAGGAGTTTCTCTCTTTTCTAGGGAAAGCCTCAAAAGGGAGATGGGTAGGTGGCAGCTAAGCAGAACATCCTGCTAAATTATTCAAAAGCTGCAGCATATGTCTAGCTCTTGGTATGTGCTGTTTGGTATGATCTGCTGTTTCATGTGACTGCTTGCCTACTTATTTTCCAATATTTGGTTCATTTTTCATAAATCCTGTCAATGTTATTAAGCATCTGTAGTTAGCAGTAAATATTATCATCTTTGAAGGTTGCTGTACTTATGAGTTCTCTGTGGAGCTGTATTGGGGCTTAGCTGTTTGGCTGCTTGTCATAATGACATAAGAAAATAATGAGCAGAATTAATTTATGTCTTTATGTTCTGGCCTCAGTGGAGTTAGACTAAAAGATGTTTTGGTCGGATGGGTTTCAGATAAGCATTCAGGATGGGCCCTTTGTTTGAACAACCAACCACAGGAGCTCAGCACAATGGAACAATGTTTATTTAACTAAGGTAATCATTTGCATGTTTGAGAGATCACAGCTGCTAAAATGCATTCTTCACTGTTTTGTGATGCTCACCTATGTACGGAGGTACAATTAACACTGAGATTAAATTAAGGATGTTCAGATGTGTAGGAGAGCCTCTGGTTGTTGGTACACTTCTGGCTTTGTGCTTGAGTACAGTACTGCCCATGAGCTGGAGTGTAGTCAAGCTCCACTCCGTCATGCATCCATTTTTTTTTTCATTAGCATGAAAATGTGAAGCAGAAGAAAGCCTTATACATGTTTAAGTCCCTTCCCTGAATGCTTTAGCATGGCACTGTGGCCTTCAGGGTATGAAGAAAGCTGTGCATGACAGCGTGCAGTGTCAGTGGGAGAGGGCAGAGGAGTAGAACAGATCCAGAGGGATCTGGTCCGTAAGGGCCCATACTCTGCCCTGGCTTACATCTGTGCATCTTCCATTGACTTCAACAGGCACTTCTTGCAGTTATCTCATCATGTGACTGCAGGTTTCAGATGCAAAAATTCTGCATTCTTCTGGAGCCAAATATCATTTACAAGAGGCAAATAGAAGCACAAAACCAGCACAAGGAAGATGTCTCAGTCCATAAGATGAAAATTAATTTCTGTGACTCTGAGATAAACAGATTTTCCTCTTCTAGTAATTGGATAGAAAATTTCTGTTGCAAAATTCTGATTTTGTCATGTGCTACACAAGAAGCTTCTCTTATCCTTCACAAAAGGTTTATATTTCACAATTTTTTCTCTTCCTCTCCTCCCACAACATAGTCAAAAGCCCGGAACAATGCTTCCTCTCTGGTCCAGTGATAAATTTATCATTTTTGAAAAGCAGTGCTAACTCCTTTATGGTACCATTTTTTCATGTTCTGATATTAATCTGTCATCACTTTTTGTAACATGGGTGCAAAGTTAGCATATTTTCCTACTGTGTTTTTTTCTTTAAAAAGCCCATACTTATCCGAATTTCACTCCATGCTGAAGGTTCATCTATAGTCTTGAAGTAGATGGAGAGTGTAAACTTTGAAAAGTGGAAAAGGTTCCAGGAAACCAAACTAAGATTAGCCCAAAGTAAAATCATCAAGTACTTCTGTTTACTGATCCATTTCAGTTCCACCCAATCATTTATTAGTGAGCAGGACTCCACGGTTTTCTTTTGAATTAGTTTCAGCTGTCTGTATTTCAGTTTCTGAGGAGTACATAATTAACCTGTAGTGAATAATAGGTCAGAACAAGTTATATATTCATGTTTGGAATGCGAGTGAAACTAGTTGTAATCCTCAGTTGCAAAGTTTAGATCCCAAGTTCCTTGGGGTTTTGGCATATTTCCACCTGTGATTTCATGGCTTTGGGGCCCATGTGCATGAAAAGTGCAGACACTGTCTCATCTTTCTTGTAATTCCTCAAGTTGTGCACATTATCCCCTGGCTAATCCTTGTGTATCTCTGATACTTGCATGGATAAGTCTTCAAGAAGAAGGCAAGCTTCACACTTGAGCTGTCAGAATGTGCACTGGTATTTGTTATTTCACTGTCAGAAGTACATTTTGTTGTGGCCACTGCTGTGAAATATTTTTAAAATTTCAAAATAAAGAAAAAAAAAGAAGGCGTATTCTCTAATGCATTTTCAAGAGGTGCTATTTTTTTAACCAAGTGTATCGGGAAAAAATGCAATTTCAATTTGAAAGGGAAAATTGTAGAAATGTTTCCATCAAAATGACTGGATTCTTATTACAAGTCTAATAGCTTTCTGCTGAAGAACTTTACAAAGACACCAAGTAGTACAATATTAAAAAAAAGTTTTGATTAATTGGGAATGGCTCAGTACTGAGAACACTGAAACGTCATACATATATTCAGACCTGTTTGACGTCTATGAACTTCAGTCTACTGTTGTAGAGGAAGATTTTCTAAGATCTTATCCTAATCTGGCATAAGACCAGATCTCAAAAAGTATAATTTTCTTGATAATAAAAATTTTGTTCTATTCTTATATTTACATAGCCTTACCATTTAGGGGAAATGTTTGATTCATAGTAGTACTTTAATTTTTTTTCCAATACATTTTAATATTTTGTATATAAAAAGGGAGTCTATTGCTAACAATTTCTCAGCTATTGAGAAAATTAGAGACATGACTTTTTAAGTCCTGCACTCATGAGTGTATCACTTTCTCTTGGGCTTGCATGGCCTGCTTTTGGTAGCAGGGGAGGAGAAGGGGTGGCTTCTGTGAGAAACTTCTGGAAGTTTCCACCATGTCCCCCAGAGCCAATCCCTGGCAGCTTCAAAGACGGATGTGCTGCTGGCCAAGGCTGGGGCAATCAAGAATGGTGGTAATGCCTCTGTGATAACAAATTAAAGAAAAAAGAAAAAAAAAAAACCAACTTATTGCACAGATATCACTGTGGCCAGAGGAGAATGGGGTGAGAACATGTGAGAAGAACAACTCTGCTGACTCCAAGGTCAGTGGAGAAGGAGGAGGAGGAGGTGTTCCAGCCACTGGAGCCAGCAGCCAGTGTTGATGACCATGGTGAGGCCCTGCAGCCCATGGGGACCCACTGGGGTGCAGAGATTCACCTGCAGCCCATGGAGGAGCCCCACGCCAGAGCAGGTGGATGCTTGAGAGGAGGCTGTGAACCCATGGGGAAGCATGGAGAGAGGGGCCCTGTTCCCACTCTGAGGCAGCCTGTCCTTGAAGGCCTGCAGCCTGTGTAAGAGGGACCCACGCTGCAACACTTGGAGGGACACAGTTGCCCATGGGAGGGATTCATGGTACAGCAGTTTTGGAAGGACTCAGTGCCCGTGGGAGGGACTCACAGTGCAGCAGTTTTGGCAGGAGTGCTGCCTGTGAGATGGAGCTACTGTAGAAGTTCACAGAGAACTGTCTCCTGTGGGAGGGACGCTGTGGTGAAGCAGGGGAAGGACTCCTCTCCCTGAGCAGTGGGAGAAGCCTCGGATGATGAACTGACCACAGCCCCCTTGCCCTGCCTCCTTGCACTGCTGGGGCAGGAGGGAAGGGTGGCAGGAAGGTGTTCTTAAGGACTTTACTTCTCATTATTCTGCTCTTTGCTAGTAGTAAATTAAACTCATATCCCCAAGCTGAGCCTATTTTTCCCATGATGGTATTTGATGAACGATTTCTCCCAGTCTGTATTTCAACCCACGAGCCCTTCATTAAATTTTCTCTCCCCGTCCAGCTGCAGAGGGGAGTGCGTGAGCAGCTTTGGTGGGTGCCTGGCATCCAGCCAGCATCAACCCACTATACACTTCCTCAAATATAAACCAGAGCTAGTGAAAAAACTTTTTCCTCTAAGCACTGCCAATTCAATGAAGCCAAAGGTTTTCTTGGGAAATGCATAGCTCTCTAATTAATTTTCAGTGGCAATTGTTCAAGTCTCATTATAACCAAGTTAAAAGTATTCTCTTGACCTTAGCATTCTGATTATATTAAAATAAAATGTTAATGTTGAAATTAGATATTTTGAAAAGACTAAGTGAAATGTTATTTGAATGCTTTCTTTTGCAAATTAATCCTGATTTTTAAACTATTATCCTCAGTTGGAATTAAATAAGGTATTAAAATCTACATTTTCCTGCTAGTAAAAACTTTGTTCTTCAGCTGTCTCTTCTACTTAAGTAAGCAGCCATGGTCTTTGGGGAAACTGAATTTTCTAGCTCCATAACAATAGTTTAGTTCTTGAAACATTTAGGATGATATGTCCAGTGAATTAATTCTCATTGTATCTCAACCATTTGAGAAATAACTACAAAAAATACTGTGAAGGTACACCTTTAGAAGGACACACCACTGCCATTTCAGAGACTTCTTCAGAGCAGTAAATATGCAGTGTTTATGAAATGTGGGAGGTGGTGGAATATGCGTCAGATTCCCCAGTTATATATGATGGAAGTAATCCAGACTTTCCTTTTTGGCATCTTGTGCTATAACTTCTACTTGATTTTCACTTTTTATTCTAGTGCCAACAATATGCCTAAGCAAGTAGAAGTCCGGATGCATGAAAGTCATTTAAATCCAGTGGAGCACAGATCCAGGAACATATGTGTGCAGTTCTGCCAGTCCCTCCACAGGAATCTGCTCCTGACTCTTACTGTGTTTGGTAAGCTACATGTGCTGCTCTGGACACTCTGTGTGTACCTGCATTTGTTCCTGTGGTACCACAGCCCCTGTCTGTGGCCTTTAGATGTTCCAGCTGAACAGCCAGAGAGTAAATAGGATGCCTATGGGCACTGCTTGTGTAGTTTAGGTGAGCAGGGTATTCCTGACACAGCACAGAGCAAATAAATCCACACCACTGAGGTGTCTGATTTGGAAAGAAGTATGATTTAAGCCTCAGGGCCAGTCAGGTCAGTGTCATCCAGTAGAACTGAATGCGCTAAACTTTTTTTCTATCAGTGATTTAGAGAAAGAAAAACAAAAGACAAAAACTCTTCAAAATTTTCTTTTTATCTCCCAGTTTACACTTCACTGGTTTTAAGGTTTGTCTTCCCTTTCTGTAGCTGTAAGCCAGCGCTCCATGATCTCATCCTGAATATTGCCTCTGGCTTTAGCAGCTTCCATATACGGAACAGTTTGACATTTTATTGTGGTTCACTGGCTCTTTGCCTGTTTCTTTTTCACTGAAAGCCCAACAGCTATATGCAGTATATTTGTAGACATACTCTTGTTATTGTTTGAAAAAACAGCTGCAACTGGTCTTGAGCTGCAAATTTCATCCCCGTATTTTCAGCCTGCAAAACCCCATGCTGCTGAAGCGTTTGCCTTGAATCACCTTTCAAAGGTGTACCCAATGCTGTCCAAGAAAAAAAGTTTTAAATACATATATATTTTTCATTGTATCAGAGATACTTCATAGTCATAGTTGCTGCAAATCATAACACAAGCCTTGCTATCTTGTTTTATTACAGTTGGGCTTGGGATCAGGAAAAAAAGGCATAATGGATGTAAACACAAAATACCTGTTCACAAAGATCATGTTATGACAGTAGACATAGCAGTTTTTCCCCCTAATCCATGCTTTAACAGCCTCTATCCTGTGCCGAAGGTTTAAGTTTCATCACTTTATCCACATAAATGATGAGGGGTTTGTTTGTGTTTTGAGAACATCAGCACAAGGAGAAAGATGTAGAGCATCAAAGAAAGGAATAAGACATGAGCCGTAAGAATCAAGTTTTCTTCAAAGATATGTGCATTACTCCACATCAGGCAGTTCCTTCCAATACCCACCTGCTCCTTTGTTTGTTCTTCCTCCAGGTGTCATCCTGGGTGCAGTGTGTGGGGGTCTTCTTCGCCTAGCAACACCTATTGACCCTGACATCATCATGTTAATAGCCTTCCCAGGAGATATACTTATGCGGATGCTAAAAATGCTGATCCTCCCTTTAATTATCTCCAGTTTAATCACAGGTAAGATCCATTAGCCATAAGTACTTTAAGATGCTTTCTACAGGCATCACCTGGTTTGCTTTTTGTGATGTAGGAAGAATAATGGTGTGATCCTGTCAGCATTTTGCAGTTGCAGTGAGTATTTCAGAGTAAATTTCTGGATAGCTTGGTTGGCTTTAGTATGTATATGCTCCAAATTTATTTCCAAGCACATGCACACATGCTACTATCAGAAATTTCTTTATATGCTTTTTTATCTAATTTCTGGATTGGACCTTGCAAATAAAATGGCCTGACACTAGTGAGCCTAGCCTTCTTGAAGGTGTGGGGTCAGCCAGACCGTGACCAGTTTGTAAAAGTCAAGGGCAAAAGATGGTAGAGATCTTCTCTATTTTTCCATGTTTCCTCTGCAATTAGGTGGAGTTTTAAATGCTTCTCTTCAAATTATTAGCAGTAGACATGGCACACATAAGAACTAGAGGGAGAAGCATCAGTAATCTGTCTCATGGTGAGAATATCACAGGGATGAAAGTAGGCACCCATAAGTAGTCATTAAACGTTGAAAATTACAAAGGATTTTATTTTACAATTATTTGATTGGATACTGAGTGTCAGTATATTTGCTTGTATTTTAAACACATGCAGGACTGTCTGGATTAGATGCTAAAGCAAGTGGCCGCCTGGGGACAAGAGCCATGGTCTACTATATGTCCACCACTATTATTGCTGCTGTGCTGGGTGTGATTCTGGTTTTAGCCATCCATCCAGGGAATCCAAAACTCAAGAAACAGCTTGGGCAAGGGAAGAAGAATGATGAAGTATCTAGTCTGGATGCCTTCTTGGATTTGATCCGAAATTTGTTCCCTGAAAATCTGGTTCAAGCATGCTTTCAGCAGGTAAGTCTTTCTACTCCTTGGTAATATTCTTTACATCTTGTCAGGGTTGTCTGTAGAGTTAATGTCGTTGTTTAGGTTAATCAGAGAAATGATGATGTAAAGAGGAATACAGGTCTAAAGTCTTGAGCAGGTAAATGAAACAACATTATTTATAGGTGCCTTGGTTTATGTTGTAGTTATTATTTAAATTCATGGGGGTGTTTTTAATGAAGTTTATTTTAATTTTGTTATTAAGTAATCTTTAATTTTCTCCATGCTTTTCATACAGTATCTATGGTCATGAATGCTGGATTGGTCTTTCACCCAGGTTGAATTTTAACTTGGCCGTTAATTACAGAGGTGATGGTTCTGCAACGCTCTGTTTGGAATATATGGATGAACATCATTCCAGCTCATTGCCAAAAATGTACCCCAAAACCCAACCTCTCATAACCTCTGTTGCTGTGTTAGAGTCCAGATGAGGTGGGGATAGTAGATCCAAAGGGCTGATGCACCTACAGGTGGCTCCATCTCACCAGCTTTGGAGCATGCTGGGAAGGAAGGATGCTTGCACAATGTGTTGCTTGCCCTGTAGGGAGTTAATTTTGTCTGAAAGCTTTTCACCAGTGCTTAATCAAAACACCTTGACTTTAAGAGGTAAAATATGCTTAAGCATATTTCTTGTACATAAGCTGCTTTTACCTCCAACTGAATTGTTTGAAACTAATGCAGACAGGGTTTTTTGGCGGTTGGGTTGGTTTTGGGTTTTTTTGATGTAACAAGATTTGTTGCCAAACCTGTTCTTAAGTGTTCCTGTGTGAAATGGCGTGATAGCTGGTGCTGTGGTTAGAGCCAAAGAAAAAAGTAACGAGAAGGAAGGGAAGGGAGAAGGGGCCAGAAGAGTGGAAGAATGGAGTGTGCCCTAAACTGCCAAAAGGGTTTGGATTGCTTCACTTCTTACATGGGCTTCCACATAAAAACATATAATCCTTGGGGATTTAGAGAAAGAACATTCTCAATATTTCCAAATCATCATGGGAATGTCAGTCATGTGGTCAAACTGTTGGTGGCTAAACATCACATGTAATGTGAAATGTACTTTTGTAAAATTGAGTGGGGGAAAGCAGGGTGCTTATGGTTTTTGCTTGCTCTCCCTCATTTGAACTGTGGAAGAGAGGAAAATTCAGTTTCTTGTCAGTTGAAAGCGGTCAAATATCTTGACAAAGGGGCAAAAAGAGCAGAAAAAAGAAGAATTAAGCTACCCGTGTCAGGTTTTTTTAAATGTTAGTATTATTTTTTCAGTGTGTGTAATACCAATGTTCAGGTTATTTCACTAGTTATGGATCACTAATTTCACCAATTATTTTTAAATGTAATTAAAAAAAAAAAAAAAAAAAAAAAAAAAAGTTTTTTGGTTTTTTAGTGTTTTATTTTAGAAAATTAAAAAAAAAAAAAAGAGAGAGCTTTTTGGCTTTTCAGTGTTTGATTTTAGCAGATTCCAGACTAATTTCTAGTGAAAACCTCTGTCACAATGCCACATTTCATTTGTAAAGTGTGATTAGATGGAACTTTTTCTTCTGTTAGCCCTTAACTCCTCTGTAAGGTGTTAGGCTTTACTTTTCTCTCACTTTAAGAGGAAAATAAACTGCTTTAATGGTGTCAGCATATATTTTCTTTCCTACATTCATACAGTTTATCTCCATAGACACTCAGAGTTTCTGGGTAACCTTAGGTGGAATAAATATTTTGTAGAAATCCTGCAAAGAGTGGTTCTGAAGGGTGCACAGCAATGGTGCTGAACAGCATGGGGGGAGGTTTTTTTGCCTTCCATTGCAACCAGGCAAAAGCCAATGAAGGTTCATGTGCAGCTTTGGAACTGTTCATTTGCAAACTGGACTGTGGCTATCAAGAAATTTGAATCTCTCCTGAATTTTCGTATGGTCCACAAGAAAGTTTAAATTTATAATGAAAATTGCTATTCCAGCAGAAAAACCATGGGACCATCTGTGAATATGACTATGACATTTAAATGGTTTTTTAAATCTCAGATGTGGTCAGAATCTAAGCTTGATGTCAGATTCAGCATTTTTAGAGACTGTGGCCTTGTGCAAAGGACTGCTGAGGACCTTTAACTTAAGTGACTCTAGTGGAATTTATGAGTGTGAAGAGTCTAATATTTTAACTTTAATTTCTATTACTCAGTTCTTATATTCTGAATACCTCACATAAAAAAGTACTCTGTTGACAAAATCCCTCAGATAAAATTTAACTCTGAAAAAAAGTAGACCTGCAAGAATGTTAGGTGGTTTCAGGACAACTGAAGAATTCCTCATGCAAAGCTATGTAGGTTTTCTGTCTATATTCCCCTCTCCAGATTTAGGCAGCAGGTTTCAGAAGGAGAAATGTAAGGTATTTTAAAACCATAAGGTTTAAACCATATGGATCAAATCTGGATCATCATCCGTAGTACTACGATGTCCATGTCAACAAGAAAGAGGTGCAAATGTTTTTTGAAAAGCTAATGCACAGTTTCTGTTATCTTGCTGAGTGTTTCTAGGAGCAAGGGGAGTAGGGAGCAGGTGGGAAAACATGGCAAGCCAGTCATAGCTTCCAAACCATTTTGCCTGTCCCAGGACCATGAAGAGGCGGAAAAAGGATCAAGGTGTGAAGTGGGAGAAAAACATCCCTTCTAAAAGCAGCAAATCACAGATATCTCTTTTTCCACTCCCTCCTCCCTTTTTTCCTAGCTGTAACCTCAAGCTCACTTCTCCTCCTACAACTCCTTCCCAGCTTTTCCTTTACTCTGACTTTCGTGTGCCAGGAGAGGGTCCAAATGCATTCAGAAGCTGATGACTCCTTTTTTTTTTTTTAGGTGTTCAGATTTATATCTGGCAGCATTGGTAATTTTTCTGTTATCTATCCCCCACCATCTTTTAATTAGAGAGCTCAGGGGACTGTGTATGTTCCATTTTGAGTTCTTGCAGTCAAGAGTTCAAAAGCTGTAAATGGTGGAAATCTCCTGAATTTTTGATTCAAGTTAACCATTAAACTGGGATGACTTGAGATGGACAGACTATCTGAATAACAAGCCTTACTGCAGAGCTGCTGCCATAACTGATCTTAGAGGCACTTGGCTTTTGGTGCTAAACAAATGGTATCAGCCTGTGACACACAGTCTGGGAAGCACCCTTTGTGAACTGTCTGGCCAAAGGGACTATCTGTAAAATGTTTCATTGTAGTGATAAAAAACATGCATTTACCATACTTTTCACACTAGAGTCATGAGGAAGACCCCCAGTACTTTGTAGCAGTTGAAACTGTTGAAAAATAAACTTAGTTCTGGAAGAAGGGTTAAGAGATTGTGGAATGCATATCTAATCCTTTAAAATATAATATAAAATAAAATAATCCTTTAAAATAATCCTTTAAAATTCCCTGTAATTTCCAGTGAAGACTTTTTATTATTAATTCCTTGTCTACCATATGGGTGCATTCAGTCTATTTCCATTCTCATCCTCCCTTTTTATTGCCTTCAGATCCAAACTGTCACCAAGAGAGTGCTGGTGCCACTACCTGTTGAGGAGCCGCCTAATGTCACTGATTCTGCTATTGCTATGGTGAATGAGACAGCACCACCTGAAGCCCAAATGGTCATTAAGAAGGGACTTGAATTTAAGGATGGCATGAATGTCCTGGGTAAGAAAATTTTCTGTCTGTCAAAAATGTACATGATATGTATGTCACAGCTTTTTGCTGTGGCTAGGTAGTCAGTGTTGTCTGATCTGGTCTTATGTGCACATTTAGTCTCTCCAGAATATCATCAAGTGTTATCACCTACTGGCTGTCTGTTGATCTCTGAGATATCACAGAAATCAGCAAGTGAATTGTTCTGGATTGGCAGCTTTGTGGTTATGAATTGGAGGAGTACAGTGGCAAAGCATGTAGGAGCTACCCAAAATATCCTTTCATCCTAGAAGCAGCTGACCTAGGGTAATGCATATTGGCAAAACAGTATGGGGGAGAGCTTCAAGAGCCAGTGCTTCACACACGCCCTGATGGATCCAAGTTGTTTCCAGTAGGTGTCTTGGGTGTGCTGAACTAATTTGGCTTGAGGCAGAGCCTGAAGTGAGAGGTGGAGTGTGAACCGCACCACCCAAGAAAAATTCCAGAAAGGCTTGACACATTTCTGAGTCACAACTCCCTCGTTCTTTCATCTTGGCTGCTGACCTTTACCAGCTGCAATTGCCATCATGCCATCTTGTCTGGACAAGCCAGCAAGTGGAGGTGGTAGGAAAACTTTGCCTATCTCTCACCTTTTCCTGAAGCAACTGTTCAGTCTGGGATGGGGGCACACGAGAAACAAACAGCTTCCACACCACTTCTATTTTTTCTTCTGCGTCTAGAGTCCCTATTTTTTCATCTGAGAGAGGAGTGCTCCTCCTTCAACTCCTTCCTTTCTGTATGTGGGTGAAGTCACAGATTAGCTCTCAATTTGTAGCCTCCCACCTACACTTGAAGATGCTCTGTGACAGCACCAAGGCTAAGGCTGACACCTCTCTGTCTACAGGTGTCCACAAAGTGGGACAGTATGTTGGGGTACCTAATCCCCTGCTTTCTCTCAACACTAGGCCATAATCTTTGAAGGGAAAATGGCCTCTTACAGCTGCTGAACAGCTCTTGCTGACACAGTGCTGTCTGCAGGCCTTCCTGAGGTGTTGGAGAGTTGGTTGGCTGCTTTGCTTAGATACAGGAGAGATGATAGCATCTCTAAGCTGGTCTCGTTTTTCTGTGAAGCAGCCTGCTCTACAAGAGCCCTGTATCCTGAGATACAGCTTTCATGGCTCTCGTTCCACTCAGCATCTGTGGGCGGAGGAGCCACTTTCAGAGCTGCAAGTTGGCATTTTGCACCAGGCATGAGGCAGCAGCTCGTTGCCAATGTTGTTTGCCCTCACCTCTTTTTTTCTCTCCTGGAATTCTGCTTATGCATTAAAATGAAACAGCTGTTCTGAGTAAGAGATGCATTACATTTAATGCTGGGCTTGTTTTGAGTAGGCTCTGTCGTGGATAAGAAAAGATCTAGAAGGCTGAATACAATTCGTACAGAAAAGAAATAGACAGTTTAGCTGGAGAATTTGCTGTGGCGCTTTGACCAGTGACTCTCAAATGTTCTTGAGCTTTTTACATTGGTTTGTTGTGGGTTTGATTTTGAATGAAGAAATGAAAATGTTATGGGAATTGCCATCCAGTTTGGATAATCTGTACAAGCCAGGCAAATTCCTGCATATAAGAACCAATCTGACTCCCATGACTAACATAACAGCTCATTTGGAATTAATGAACAAAACTACCTATTAACATTTTCTAATGCAGATTCTGAATTCCAGGAAGTAACTTGGTCTTTGAAAAGCTTTTCATCATTTCTCTATGCTCTGCAGCACACAAACATATGCTTCACTTCCCTATTCAACTGACTCAACAAAGACAGCTTGGTTCTAAAGAATGACTTTGTATACAGGAAACTGGTTTAAAAAAAAGAAGAAAAAAATCTGGTTGCTAAACCCAGTGTGAGGCTATGGGACAGCCTGTCTTTTCCCAGGGTGTTGGCAGCTCACATTCCCTTATCTTGAATGTTTTTGTGTCCCAGTAGGTTTTTTCCATAGGAATTTCCCAGATTAGTTTACACATTTGTTAAATACTGAACTCATATCATGACTGAAAATTTAGCCTCAAAGAATGGCTGAAGATTCAAACCATCTGTCAGTATCAGTTAATAATTCAACTCTGGACTCTGAAAATTTCTGGATATAAAAGGTTAGCATTGAAGAAACAGCTCCAAAGTAATCCATGACAGATGCATCCATTGTTTTTTCACACTGATAGTCCAATACTCCAGATAAATCTACATTTAGGAGCCAAATGTTACGCATTTTGAATGCCGCAATTTTTTATCAACTGATAGCCTTTTCAGTGAGGCTAAGCTGCTTTTTGGGAGTTCTGTGGTTAAGTGCAATACCCACCTTCTCCTCCCACATCTACCTTCTTCATTTAACAGGAATTCTCCTTCCCTACAGAAGATCTAGGGCTACTTTTCCTTTCCCCACACTCCAGGACTGATTGGTCTGTCAAGGCACTTTTGTAAAGCCTGAGAAAATACCTCACGGTTTCTAGCAACTCTTTTAACAACAGAGTTAGAGTGCAAGACTGTGTTACCTTTTCCATTTGTCAGGGCTCATGAGGTTTCTAGTAGCTGAATGGCATTGAGAAGATTACTGTATATGTACTTTTTGATGATCAGATCAATACATGATAACAGCACAAGAAAACTGTAATTCGGTTGTGAAATTGGAATTTAGTAAAACATTGAAGAATCATAGATTTTCTGGATTTGATTATGGTAATTGAGCATGAGTACATATTAAAAAGTCCCAAGACATGTGTAATACCCTATAGTTCTGAAATCCTGTGCCATATGCTCTAGGATGGTCCTGCTTGAGCAGGGAGGTTGGACCAGATGACCCACTGTGCTCCCTTCCAAGTTTACCTAAACTGTGATTCTATGCTTCTGTGAAATCTGGATTTGCAGGTAGCATCAAGACATTGACTAAGTGCGAAAACTTCCTAAGAGCCTTCTTTTTTGTCTTGCAATTTTTCCCAACAGGTTTGATAGGATTCTTTATTGCTTTTGGCATTGCTATGGGGAAAATGGGAGAACAGGCCAAGATGATGGTGGATTTCTTCAACATCCTGAATGAGATTGTAATGAAGTTAGTAACCATGATCATGTGGTAAGTTTGTAGTTCTAACCCACAGAACAAAAAAGTAATTTTTAAAAAGCCCTTATAAAACCTTGCTATAGTGATGCCAGTTTGTTAGTAAACAGTGTAATTGAATAGTTGACTTTCTAAAGCCTTGGAAGTGATATTAGAACCACATCAGCATTATTTCCATTTGGTGAGGATTATTTAGGATCCAACTTGAAACACTTCTGAAGAGATTCTGTTCTTTGTGTGCTGAAATACAACACATGCATGTACCAGCAAAGGCCTCCAAATGCCACATTGATTATGGAAGTTCATTATAGAGGAGAACACCTAAGCAATCAAGAACGGCCCACACAAGAGTATCCCAATCTTCCTGGGAGGTTAGCATAATCCCAGGATATTACCTAGGAGGTATAATTACAAAAAAGCCTGTAGACACACATTATTCATTCTTCTTTAGTGAAAATACTTTAGCATGAAATAAAATTCCAGTACTTTTCAGTGATGTGTAATCCTTTTACTCATAGTTTCTGCAGAATATCTTACAGTCTTGCTGCAATGAGGTCACTGGAAGATATCTGCCCTGTTTTTGAAGTATACCTGTTTGTAATAATGGGGCCTGACTTGCCTTTAAGGAAGTAACTTTACACAAGTCTGAGCCCTTGTTTACACTTATGAGAGGTGGCTACCTCTGACTCTTTTTTTTTTTTTTTTTTTTTTTTATGTTTCTTCTGAGTGCTTCCCCAGAGCTATTTGTATGCCAAGCATGGCCATCTCACATAAAGCCAGTTTTCCAGAACATAAAAATGCATTGCTGTGCTTGGCATTGAACTAATGTGTTTCCTAGATCTTTGAGAGTAGGAATAGCCACTCCAACATAACACACACATCGTCGCTCATTGCTGCCTGGGATTCCCTGGTGTCCCTGGGAGTGATTCCTTGAGTTCCAAGGCTGTCCTCTTCTCTAGAGCTCTCTGGACAGTGTGTGGGAAGGGGAGCAGGGTGCCTGAAGCACGAGCTGTCAGCACCATCAGCGATTCAGAGGGACACTGTTAGGGCAGAGAGTGATGCAGACAGTAACAACAGTGTGGGAATGTGCAGAATATCAGAAAGAACTGGAAGCCATGACCTTGTGTTCCTGATACGCTTCTGCTTTTCTGTAGATGATCTTGCTGCATAAAACCAAAGCTGTTTTCATTCACAAAGCTTTCAATATTTACTCAATCTCCACTTGATGGTTGCTATACCCCCATAACCCTCCAGGAGCTAGAATTTACTCTTGCTTAGCACCATTTGGTAGACCCAAGGCATAATACCCTGCCTACAATATAAACATTCTCTAGTAATCAGTGTTGCAACAGCAGGAAATCTTTTAAGTTTCAAGAAATTCACTGTAAATATTTATTTTTATTGATGTGATTTTTATTTCTCTTCTCATGAAAGGAGGAAATTGGTGTTGGGAATTCCTTTTGTTCATCTCTGTTTAGAATTTTTAAAGATTTGTTGAGGCCAGAAGCAAGGGGGTTTTAGTGTGTGTTTATAAAGAAAAAACCACTTCCTTATGCAGAGTTACATTCTGCTTGGTTTATGATTGCTCAGCACAGACATCTGCAACTCCCATGGCACCTAGAGACTGTCAGGAGCATGGCATTGCTACACAGGCATAAAACAAAACAGACATCTGGCTCTGACAACATGTAATTCTCTGTAAGAACTGCGTTTTGTCAAGTTCATTGAAACAGTGGCATTTTATGATAACTGGTATAACAGCTGGCCTTGCATTTCAAGTGATTGAAGGCTTCCAGGCCTTGGGCACATTGCTTGAGAAATCATGAGTTATTCTAACAAAAACCAGGAAGCACTTTTACTCTGAAAATCATTTTCCTTTGCATTGTTCTAATGATTGAGGAGACAAAACCCCTACCCTAAGTAACAAAAGTACATAATTAATGAAGAACCCATAAATTAAAAAGAATTTGTCTGAATTATTGAAAGAACATAGTGGAAACATTTTCAGCCTTCAAGATATAAGCAGTTAGTTTCAACAAATAGTTTAACTGAATAAAATAATGCAACCTCCTAAAACCACATAAACAATGGGTTGTAAATATTACTTTTTAAGAACAAATCTGCACCATTCTTTATAATGATCCAAGCCTGTGTAACATTATCATATTCTTGTACAATGCTATTTTAGGATTGAGAACTATTCAGGAAAGGCATATTACATTTGATAGGATGGAAAATGAAGTAGATGGGGAATTTGCTGAGATGGCCATTATTTTTAAAAAAGGTGTGACAACTATCCCTTGAATTTCCATCAGTTCTTGACATGCACCTCGCTGTTGAGCCCGAGAGCTCCCTACTCTTCTCCAGTGTGTGTTTTGTTCAGCACAGTTTCTGTGACTGCGCTGCCACGAGAAGTTCTGTCTATGCTTGTTTTCTTTCTCCAGGTATTCCCCGTTGGGTATTGCTTGCCTCATCTGTGGAAAAATCATTGCAATCAAGGACCTAGAAGTAGTTGCTAGACAACTTGGCATGTACATGGTCACTGTGATTGTGGGTCTTGTCATCCATGGAGGAATCTTCCTGCCTCTGCTCTACTTTGTGATAACAAGGAAAAGCCCATTTTCATTCCTTGCTGGGATTTTCCAGGCATGGATCACAGCACTAGGCACAGCTTCCAGGTACACCTGAGAAATACCACGGTGCTTTATTTTTTAGCAGATTATTACGTGTTGTTTAGACATGGTTCATCTCTTGTTCTGACCTTCATTGCAAAATCATTTTATGCCATTCAATGAAAACTATTTTTAATACAGCCATGTTTAAATAAATCAAAATACCACTTGACTTCAGGATTCTCTAGAGAGGCTGTATCTCTGCAGAGACCTGCAGACATCTGGGAGACCTACGTTTTTGTTTTCTTTCCTTTCTTCTTTTGTTTTCTTTTCTGCCATTTGCCTAATCACTTGTGCAAATTGTGTTAATTCTGTACTTGTTTCCTCAACTAGGAAAAGTGATAATTCTATTTATTTTGAGAGCATGTTAATACCAGTCTCACTGCATTCAGGAAAGAAAAAACAAACATTTCTAGGTTACAGAAAAGAAAGGAAACAAACCCCTCTCCATTTGTATTTTAATCAATTTTGGCAAAATAATTGGACTTCAGTGAAAAGATGAGCATTTTAGACTTGTCAATGCACAGAACAGACTCAGAAAAGCATGTAAGTAACGGCTCTCAGTAATAATTTTTTAAAAATCAAAAACTGCTGTCTTGCCTTGGGGCAGTCAGTAGATCTTGACTTGAAAATGTTTTTCAGTTAAATACCATATTTAGAAGTGTTTGCCTTCAATCAGTGTTTTGTTTCTGAAGAAAATTTAATCTTCCATTTTAATTAAAAAGATGAAAACAAAAAACCCTAGTTCAAAATGGACCACTAGAAAACTGAGCATTCTTGATCTGAAGAATGCCTTGAAAGAACTGTAATTCAGCTGTCTCTTTGGGTCAACCCAAACCACTCTGCTGAACAGCTTCTCCCTTGATGAACAAGAGTCTCTGGGGGACCTCACTGATGTGCATAAACATCTGATGGGACATGCCAAGAAGATGAAGTGGTGCCCATTTTCAGTGGTGCCCAGTGACTGGAAGAGAGGGAGTGGGACAAAGTGAAGCACAGGAAGTACCATCTGAACACAAGGAAACTCTTTTTGCTGGGATTTACTGTGACAGTGCATGAATGCTGGCACAGGCTACCCACAGGAGTTGTGGAGTCTCCATCCCTGGAGATTCACTGAACCTGTCTGGGCACAGTCCTGGGAAATGTGGGAAACCTGCCCTAGCTGCCCATGCCTTGAGCAAGGTGGTCGAGATGGGTGACTTCCACAAATGCACTCCAACCTCAGTAATTCTGTGCTCTGTGATAAACAGTGTTAGATTATAGGAGATCTGGTCTGGCCAAGAGTTTTCATAAATGACAATTTACCTGAGGCTTTTGTTCATTGAAGTGTTTGAGTTTCCACTTCAGCAGTATTTTTGGATGGAGGTGGATTTTTTTGAGCAAGTGAATGTAATGACCTGAAACATTCCCACAAAAGCAAGGCACTGTGTATCTGTGCAAAGAGCTGTTCTCTTCCACCCATCTTTTGCATCTTTTACTATCCTCCTACTGTGTTTCACATCCTTTCTTCCTGTCCTCCAGTGTCTGGGAACAATTTTGCCTGGCTTTTTCAGTCCTTAACACCATACCAAATTCTCCATTTAGAGTGAATTCACAATCAAAGAAATTTAAAATTTGTCCTTACACTCAGAGGTCTGTATATCAGTGTTACTGTCTGGTTCTTAAAATTATTAGAAATGCCTCTGCCTGCATGAAGGTGCAAACGAGACTATATGCCAAAGTCAATAGTATGGATTTTATTTAATAGTAAATATGAGAGAGAGAGAAGAAGGGAAGGAAGAGAGAGAAACAGAAAGAGAGTGACATATCTCCACTCTGTGGATCCCACCAGCATCCTGTTGATGCTGTCCATCAGATCTTCTTGGTGGTGAGGGTCCCCCAACAAACACAGAATCCAATGGATTACTGTATGTTCAGGCCAGGTGGGAATGGCCAGGTACTTCCCCCAGGGAGGGAGGCAGTTTGACAGGCTCTTGCAGCAGACTCTGGGTCTGTTGCATCACGTGCAATGCTGTGGTGCAGGACCTCAGCAATGAATCTGAAAAATTCATCCAGGAACTCTCAAGCTCTCATCCTACATCAAGCCACATTCATGTCTTGGCCTCAGTCCCACTTCCAGCTAAATGTAGGCTTAATTTAAAAATTGTCCAAAAAAGACTTAAATCACAGCAGAAAGTGGAAGTAGAAAATGTAACCAATGGTATTAAAATTTCTGATTTTGCTCCCTTATGTGTATGTGTTATATTGATTTTAATTATGACTTCTTTGTGTTTTTTGCTTTCTCTCCCTAGTGCTGGAACATTACCCGTCACATTCCGGTGTCTTGAAGAAAATCTTGGCATTGATAAGCGTGTGACAAGGTTTGTTCTTCCTGTTGGAGCAACTATTAACATGGATGGAACTGCCCTTTATGAAGCCGTGGCTGCCATCTTCATAGCACAGATGAATGGAATTGACCTGGATGGAGGCCAGATAGTTACTGTGAGGTCAGTTCAAAAGAGTCCTTTGTTTCTACAGACTGTAAAATGTGAATGCTTTGGGTTAGATGTCTTAGTAGCTGAGTTGTCTCACTTGGATTCAGTATGAAATCCATGGATTTCTACTAATGATATACAAATGAATGTTTTATATATGGGTCCTGGTTCTTGGGTGATGTGTTTTCTATCATTTGCAGCCATAGTGCACGCTGGTGGTGTTTTACACTTCTGCAGCTAATTGTCATGGTTTAACCCTGGGCAGACACCAAACCCCACACAGTCACTTGCTCACTCCCTCACCAGCGGGACAGGGGACAGAATCACAAGGGTAAAAGAAAACTCATGGGTTGAGATAGCAATAGTTCAATAGGGAAAGCAGAAGCAGTGCCCACAAGCAAAGAAAACCAAGCAGTAAATCCACTACCTCCCACGGGCGGGCAGGTGCTCAGCCACCTCCAGGAGAGCAGGGCCCCACCACAGCTGACAGTCACTTGGGAAGACAAAGGACATCACTCCAAACTCCCCTTTTCTTCTTCTTCCTCCCACTTTATGCACTGATGATTCCACACACGTGTGGTGTGGAATATCCCTTTGGGCAGTTGGGGTCACCTGTCCCAGCTGTGTCTCCTCCCCTGCACCCCCAGCTCCCTCACCACTGTGGCTGTACAAGAAGCCAAAAAGGCCTCGGCTCTGTGTGAGCCCTGCTCAGCAATAACAAAACATCTCTGTATTATCAACCCTGTGTTCAGCACAAATCTAAAACACTGCCCCATACCAGCCACTGTGAAGGAAATGAACTCTACTCCAGCCAAAACCAGCACACAAAACAATGTCAATTGTAATATAAGGCATTCTCTGTCCAATGAAATGCTTTTTTATTTTAGTTTTGGGGTATGCTACAACTCATGAACAGGCCATTCACTTTCTAGAATATATCTGTTTATGTACACTAGAAGAAAAAATTATACCTGAAAAATCTTTCTATGTGTTTATATTTGCCTGTACTTTTTCTATGACTTTGGTGAACAGGAAAAAAATAATGAACTGAGAATAGCCCATCCTGAGGGTGAGATTGTCTGTGGCATGGTCTGGATACTCCCAGACCTTTTATCTCTAACCCAGCAAATATTAACTGTAGTCTTTTCATATCAAATTGTCTTATCCAGAAGAAAGCTGAGTATCTGTAAGAAGAAAAGAAAGTGCCCATTAAAAAAGGATGAGAGTGATTGAAGACTGTTTACTGTAAGGGAGTTTTAACTTGATGAAGACAGCAGGTCTTTTTGACATTTTGACAGGACATTTTGAATAGTTAAAATGGAAACCACAAGTGAAGGCTGCCAAGTTTGTCTTCTTCCTGTCGTTTTCACCCACACAGTTTTCTTTTATTAAACCTTTTTAACACTAAAGAAACTCCTTCAAAGGGATGTCTAATTCTATGTTTCTTGCCCAGCTATACTAGTTCCACACTTTCCATTTGTTTACTTCCTGCCCTGACTCCTGAAATAGTAAAGCCAAGTTTGCGTGAGGTTTTCAGGGCTGCTTCTAATGAAGGCAGATGCTAGACCTGCATGATCTATATTTGTTCCTAAAACTGGAAACAGTAATTTCAGAGATGCCACATATTAAACTAAATTGAGACAAGGGAAATTCAAATCAAGAATCTGCTGTTGTCCAGGAGATTTGGTAGGCTTGAACCTGAGTTACTCATCTTCTCTTCCTCTGAGGGACTGAGCAATTGGCTCTTCCTGATCTCACCAATTCAAGGCTGGTATATCTAGCTTTGTGACTGACATTTACAAAGCAGGGAGCAACTTTGGTCGATTTGCAAAACCACTGCTTTTCCTCTTCATGCATTTTTGCTACAGCAATATGACAAGAACTATCTCTTGAGATTACAATACAAATGAAGGAAAGATTATTAGATTTTGTCTGGAATATGCACTTTGTGATACTGACAATATTCAAATGACCCAGACATAACCTCATAAAGACTTAATTAGCCTTTGACCAGACTTAGTTGCTTCATACTGGTCATTTCATTCCTCTGATTTTCTGTGTTCTTTGGGAAAGGGTGATTTTGGTAGCTAAGACCAGTTCTGTTTAGTTCTGAACAGTTTCAGCTTAATTCCCTTCCAAGTTTGTAAGCGCTGCTGCGGGAAGGCAGGCAGGAGCATTTCCTCACAGAGCTTGCAAGGAATCCCTTACCAGTTCAGGCTGGAAGTGCCTGAGGATCTGGCATCACATGCAGAGCCTGACAGCAGAGCAGAGCATCCTGCCTGCACATCTGCTGGACCTATTTGGGTGTTTAGTGAGCCAGGCTGCACTCTAACCCAGACACCTGACAAACACACTGCAGCCTAGGTCAGACCCAGCCAGACAGCATCTGGCAGCTCTAAATCAGGCCAACATCCTCACAGATGAGTGCTGGGGCTAATGGACAAGTATTTCCTGTAGAGTCTGTTCTCCCTTACTTTTGTGTTGGAAGCACTTTTGTTGGTGTCAAGACGAACAAACTGAAGAACACACTGTAATTAAGAAGGCTTCTCTATATTTATTTTACAGCATGCTGTCTTTTTATACTCTTTCACAAAGTTTATACTTATTCATTGGTCAAAGTAAATCCACATAATATTCCTTGGAGCAAGGCAGCCTGTCCCTTGTTTATCTCTCTCTCTCCTTCGTTTCCACACTGACATCTTCGTAAAGCTCCTTTCAGGAGCAAAGGTGACCCTTACCAGCTCCTTTTCTGTCACTAACCCTCTCTGACTCCCAGACCAGCTGTGAGCCCCTCCCACACGCTTTCGCATTTGTTGGGTACGAGTGGCAGGGTGAGCCCCGGGTCCCCCCAGGAAGCCCAAAGGAAATGACACCTGCTGTGGCACAGTTCGTGCTTTCAGGTGCTAAGGCTCCACCCACAGCCCCATTTCCCAGCATTTATTCCTGGGCAGCCCAGTTGTGGAACTTTTCTCTGCCCTGACTGGTGGCCAGATGAAGTCCCTCCAGAGACAGTGTCCCTCCATTTTCTGCCTCCCTAACACCTGGCATGTGTTAGGGCTCTCAGCATGTATACAGCCCCTTTAGCAGTTTTTCACCTCATGTATAGCATAAAAAAGGCATAAACCTAAATCAAATTGGTCCCTCTCACCTGCTTTCCTTTTTATTTACCCTCCTCCTCTCCCTCTCCTCTTCCCTGTTTTTCTCCCCTTGACTTGCTCTATGACAAATTTATTTTCCACTCTTTATAAGACTGCCCAATGATGTTGATATTTGTTATAGTCCGTGTTATGTTTTTACAAACATTTGAAGCTCAGATGTTCACTGTACTGATCTTCATCAAAATATATGAGGCAAAAACAAACACAGGTTTGGATTTATGAAACAATCAGATCAATTTTGCTTTTTCATCTAGGCTGATTTGTATCTAGGCTTGGTAGAGAACTGGCTTGTATTTTGGGAGTTTTGGATACCAGACTCCTATTCTTCTGTATTTAATAACTGTTTTCTCTCAGCTTTTAACTCACAATTCAGTCTTAAGGTAGTATAAATAAACAGAAATCAATCACCCTGAAAATTCAACCTGTAGTCACCAAACTTTGGCATGTTGGGATGGTCAAAACTCAGGATTCAAAACCTTGGATGAGTTTGTCGAGTTTAGAAAGCACCACAACACAGATTTTGAATGTCATAACTCGCTTATAGACAACTCTCTTCTAACTCTCGGAACAAACCCCAGAGATCTGGCCTCCCCTAATAAATATTTCTAGAGAAACACAAGAGGAAAAAATATGACCTCAGTTTACCTTGATTTATCATGTACTTGTGTTTTATAGGATGAACACATTAAAAATATGACCTTCCTAATGGTCACATTAGTATGCAAGTGTGGGTTCTCTTCCTTCTACTCCCATTTGATTTTTACTTTTGCAGTTTGACTGCCACCCTTGCAAGTGTTGGAGCTGCCAGCATTCCCAGCGCAGGACTTGTCACTATGCTGCTGATCCTGACTGCAGTGGGTCTCCCTACCCAGGACATCAGTTTGCTTGTTGCTGTTGACTGGCTTTTGTAAGTTGTGCTGATGCCGCTGCTCGGTGCAGAAAAGGCAGTGAAGTAATGTTTGTCCACAGTGCTTTACATTGGTCTTAAAGAACTATAAGTCTCTCCTGTACAGATAAACCAAAGGAGGAAATGGGCTATTCAGTAAAGTAGGAGACACTGAAAACAGCTTCTCAGCTGTTACAAACTGTAACAGAGCTACTGAAGTCAGTTTCTGTGAGCCAAGGGTCTTCTTGGCACACTTGTGACCTCACACTTCTATATTATCTCCTCCCTAATGATGCCTTTCCATCACTCAAGGGCAGTTTTCTAATCTTTGCTTTTGTATTTCCATTTGTTATAGTTCTGCTCTAAAATGAAGGATGAATGCTGAAAATGCAAGTTCCATCAGGATGTTGCCAGCAGGTTATAGAGTGATGTGGGCATTTGTAGTATCACATGTTTTATACTTGTAGGGGGGAAAGTTGGTTTCTTTTTGTATATAAGAAAGTAAAATACCTTTAGAAAGAGCCTGTTCCAGGGCAGGACAAAGACCAAAGACAAATAAGAATGAAAACTGAAATAAAGAAGGTAATTCCCTAGTTTCATTTTACTGACAGATCATTCAGACTAGAAAGAATGGCTTTCATTTCCAAGAACTTGTGATCAAAGTCCTCCAGTACCATTACAAGTCCTCCAGCGAGAAACAGCTAACCCACATATTGTTTTCTGAGGCTATTGGTCTTCAGCACTTGAATCCAGAAGCTGTAAGTACAGATAGAGGGTATGCCAGGCCACATCCTTTCTCTTGCTGTCATTTGACAGCTGGGATATCCTTCTGTCATCTGGGCAGAGCTGAAAGAGACTCCGTAGCCCTTAAGTTGTACTGGCCTCTGGAGACACTTTTGTATTGTCCTGTAGTGCTGCAGCACAGTATATTCTGGTTTATTCTGGCCAACAGCCAGCTCTCCCATAACATCCTTTGAAGTAGTAAAGACACTTGTTTTTGTTGTTCCAGCTGTGGTGCCCAGAAAGGGAGACATAAATGTAACTGTACTATTTATGTGTTTTCTCCTACGCTAGCAGCCTCAGCTGCCTGCTTCTGGTAACTTTCAGTTCCAGATAGACAACTAAAAGTATGCAAGAATAAATAGCGGAGTTGAGAATGTACCTGTGCAGATAAAATAGCAGTTTAATTTTCTGTCATTATCTCTTGGCTTATTGAGAAGAATTCATGAACTAAATCAACCCTCTGACATGTATTTTGGGTCTACTGGCATGGTCTCTCTGTCACTAAGAATTTTGAAGGATAACATGCAGCTCTGATTTCTGCTTCAGGGAAGAAAGAAAAAGGAATTTACAACTTGAGGAGGGAAAGGGAAAACTTGACTTACATTGTTTATATATAACTGGATATCATGATGGAGAATGGTGAAATGAGAAGGTACAGCAGGCATAGGGAAGGATGTGATGTTCAGTGGGTTTATTATATTTATGATGTCATAATTGAAAACAGGAAAGTGGTATAGGAATCTGCAGCTGGAAGAAGGCGAGAAAAATATATAAAAATGTATTTTAAATATCTGTTTTTCTTCACTCTCCAAGTAAGGCAAATAGGTAGGTTTCTGCAGCTGGTAGGAGGATGTGACAAAAGGGCCTGTGGTTTGCTTGGGTTTTTTTTAAGGATATATATTTTTGAAATATTCCTGTGGACTGAGAAGATCTGCCTATGCTGGCAAGCCTCAGAACTGTAAGTTTACCAGCAGTTCTGAACCCACTAGTGGGTGTTGCATTTCAGCAGCATTGTCCCCACTGGCTAATCCAACCTTGCTTAAGAAATAAAAACTTCTGTACTGTGCAGCTGTAGCCATGATGAATGTAGGAATAGGAAGGATAGAAATTCTGAAAGAAATAATATGTCTTTTCAAAATAAATAGAAAACAAGAGAACTTTCAGCCTGAATGGTTGGGTTTGGATTCTCATGGACTACTGATCAGCAGTGCCAGTGCAGGGTGATCCAGAACTGAGAGGTAAAAGAGATAAAAGAAGAGGTGAAAAGTTCTGTGTCATGCCACTGTATTTATTAATCTATGTTCAACAGCTAATATCTTCATTTTCCATCTTCCAGTGGCTGTGTTGTGGTAGCCATAATGATCTAATTAACTATGAAAAATGATGCTGCTGACATTGCTATATTAAGAAAAGGCACACAGACCAACTTCTGAGCAAGCTTTTGCACACACAAACCAGATCTAAAGGATATCTGAAATGAAATGTCTTAAAAACACATTTTCTTTACCTACAAACATTAAATAATGTTACAGCAGTATTTCTAACAGAATGTAGAAGAGAAGACCCAATTTAAGACCCAATTCCAGCCACTTTTCTGGAACCCATGAGTAAATGCAACCAGCCATATACAAATACTTAGATCATCCTTTCAATAACATTTCAATTTCAGAATAAAAAGGTTTTAAAAATATTCTACTCTATAAGTTTTTCATTATTTTTTATAAAAGCAAATATCAGAATGTCAGCTGATTTTACAGTACTACCATCTGAAATTGTGGTCTTACCAAAACCAGTTTTGCATGATTTGGTCATTGTGTAACACAAAGATCACTTTATGTCAAATCCTTAAACTTGGCACTCTCTCCTTCAAACTGGAGCTGAAAGGTTTCCATGTTGATTTTTTCTCAAGCCTCTCCAGTATCTGTTGGGTTGTTCAATTTTTCTACATCCCATGGATGCATACCCAGTGTAAGCTCTTTCAACCAGGCAAGTTTCCCAGGATTTCACAACTCTTACAGTCTCTCTTACAGTTTAAAACCAAGGACAACACAGCAGTGACATTTAATAGGACAGCAATTGTATGCCAACAGATGGAATAAAATGAGCTTATTTAGCTTGAGCCACAATCTGGGTACTCTCCAGATGTGAGCTGACAAGCTTAGCAAATATCAGTGGTACCAGATTAGTGGTATTTTGCAGCAAAGAGCGAGGAATTAGGGAAAATGAGCTTGGGCAGCTGATCCGATATTTAAACCTTCATTCAGTAACTCAGAAAAAGATTGCTTCAGTTCTCACTCTGGGTCTGAATATTCTGAATCTAGATCTAAGCCTTGGCTTAGATCTAGATTCAGAATATTCAGACCCAGTTGAAATGTGGATGTAATGAACAGGGTCTAGACTGCAACTTTCCTATATCTGTTTTGTTTACATCATCCCACTTGCCTGGAATTAATTGGTTGATTGGTTTTAACAAAAAAGTAAGTACAATTGACTTTGTTCTTGAAAAGGTGTTCTTTGCCCCAAAAGAGGTCAGTGGCACTTTGCTGTTGATTCCTGACAGCTGAGACTTTTCTGTTTCTGTTGGAAGGAGCTTCCTTGTTTCCTTTGGATCACACAGTGTAACACATTGTGCATCAGTGTGCAGTTTGTATTGCTTTATCTCTCAGCTAGTAGTACGTGTGCATGGGCTGGAGCATCTCCTCAAATGACCCTTTCAGAACTTGAATTCTGCCTCAGTTATATTTATGTATTCTCTCCACCTTGGGTTTTTGGCATGCCATACTATCCCTCTGTCTTCTGGCATCAGTGAGTCCTTTCAAAATTTAATACCACCCATGCAAAAAAATTAAGTAGGTGTTCTTTTTGTAGTTGTATTGCCAGGTTCAGTGTATTTAATGTTTTTAATTAAAAATCACACCAGAAAGTCTTATTTTCCTATTCTACCACTCTGACCAGGATTAAAATAGTCTTCATAGGCATTGGATGAGAACTGTATAAAGCATTTAATTTGTGTGAAGCAAAACTGGAAGGACGTTTTCCTCCTATAGGATGCTGGTTTGTTTCTCGAGGGAATTACTGTAGAGGTTTTCCCCTTCTGGGTATTCTTCTGAAGCCAAAAAAAAAAAAAAAAAAGAAAATTAACTGCTTCAGCAAAGATATTACACCACAAAGTCTGTAAATATGTAAGCATGATAATGTTGAGAGGGAGAGGAGAAACTTGAATGGGACTATAATTCCACAGCTGAGAAAGGAAGATTTACTGATGTGTAGAGCAAAGATGTTAAAATGTGCTCAAAATTTGATATGGCCATGAATAAGCATGAATAATGAATGTTTACCAGTTAAGACATTATATATTTAGATGTTTTCTTCTCAGTGTTCTACAGAAAAAGATGTCACACAAATCTAGTACTAGAAATACTAGAAAGGTTGTTTTGAAATTCATCACTGTCTTGGGAAATGAGGTCTTACATGCTAGCTTTTGTCACTTGGCAAATGTTCACACTGTTCAACCTGGCCATTTTCTGTAAATGAATCTTCCTGAATATACTTCTGAGAATTAATCAGTGTAATTACTTCTCTGACCTATTTGGCAGAGCTAGACTCGGTTGCTTTCAGTCAGTTTAATTTGCAACCCTTGGTCAGAAGGTTTTTAGGAGTTTTATGTTTAGTGCAGATATGACGACGCAAATGAGACTGTAAATATTTTTTTTTTTCCTGCAGCAGGAAAGATAGCAGGACCCAGCTCACATTTTTGCAGAATTTTGGTCAGGTTTGGGGCAGAATTCTGAAGTCAGAGAAAACCCACAACTGTGACTTCACTGGAGCCACAAGGCGGCATGTCTGTTTGATGACATCCTGTCCAGAAAGTGCCAACAAACATATTTCTTTGTAATGAAGCATGTTAGCCTCTGTTGGCACCCTCCTACATCAAGGGGCACTCGTTAGTGAAATGCTGTCACAGGCTCATAATTTTGTAGGCCATGACCTATATTTGGGTTGCTCATATGCCAAGCTCTGGCACACGTAGTGTGAGTGGGCATGCTGCCACACCAACAGATGGCCATCTGTAAAGATGGTGCCAGGAGAGGAGCTTCAATAGCCTCAGCATTATGGAGATATTTCAGGCATTTTTGTTCCCCATAATTTGTTCACTAAGAGTGAAGGGACAGACCTTTTGTTAATTCAAACTAGAAATGAGAACAACTCATCAGAACCAAAATCCTTTTCTTTGCTGCATTAAGTTCAGTGCTCTGATAAATTCAGATTAAACAAAGGGCAGGAGTGTGAGCCTAGCAGCCTGATATTGAAATCTCCAGAAGCAGGCATGAGGGATCTCAGTAAAGCACAGCTCTGCAATTTGGCTGTGATCTAGCATACATTCTTTGCCAAACTCCATGAGAATAAGCCGCTGGGACATGGGAATTTGAACATCCTCCCTGTCCAAACAAGTCCCTTGGGAAAGCAAACTTCTCCCATTTCCCTTGAAAGCTCCCATCTCTCTGTTAAAAAGATACCTTAAGCTTCCTGAAACAAATGCAGTAACTGTACCATAAACAGGGCAGCCATGCCCTGCTTTTTTTTCCTCTCATGCCATTCAGCCTCTGCCTTTTCCTTCTTTTGTAGGGACCGGATGAGAACATCAGTCAATGTAGTGGGGGATTCTTTTGGTGCTGGCATTGTCTACCACCTTTCCAAGGCAGAACTTGACACCATTGATTCCCATCATAAAGGGCATGAAGACATTGAAATGACCAAGACTCAGTCAATCTATGACGACATGAAAAATCATAGGGAAAACAACTCAAACCAATGTGTTTTTGCAGCTCACAACTCAGTCATGGTAGATGAGTGCAAGGTACCTTTCACATTTATGGATATTGAGACATGTATATAGCACTGCATGCTTTATTTTATCTTATTTTTTAACCTGCATGTATTTTTCAAATCGTTCTGCAAATAACAATGTGACAACAAGGTCCATGAACCCCAGACATTTTGAATGTGTTTGAGCAGTTCAAAAGATGGTTTTTTGCACTCTTCTTAAAACTTGTCATTTGATGGGAAAAAATCATGTACTTTGTTTACATATCAAAAGGCAAGATGCAGCGTATTATGGAATATGCCAAGACACAGAGAATATGGCATCACCTTCTATGGACATTTACTTAATTTTCTGTGGCAACAGAGAACTTAATTGCCAACCCAAATGAAGGATGGCTGCAATTCAGATGCAGGTGTTGTCACTTGCTGACTGCCTTCATGATATGCTGTTCAGAGGTCGACATGTTGAACGCGCTTTAGCATGAGAATGCTCCTGCACTCACAGCACGCTTCTGCTTCTCTTCTCTCAGCCATCCTTCCCGAGGCACTAAGGCGCAAACACTCTCTCCCCTCTGTAACCCTTGCTGTAACTAACATGCAATATTAATACTAATAATGATGTCTTGATCAGAGTGAAGTGAGCTTGAGCAACCCCACCAGTTGAATGCGAAGACAGCTCGGGAGGTTAGTGGTTAAAAGTTCACTAAGAACCCACCACTGGGATGGAGCTGTTTGAAATCCAGAAAGAGCTTTTGAAAAGGAGGAGAAAAGAAGGAAAACAAGGTGGAACTTCTCATTTAATAGTCTTTTTGAAGCCAATTCATAGTTTTTTTGGTTTGTTTTTGTTTTTGTTTTTTTTTTTTTTTTTTTTTGCGCTGATTAATGGTCCAGACTGATGCTGTGCACTGTCTTTGAGACAGTGGGTTTGCCAATCAGGCTACCTTAGCCATTTATCCAAACAGATTCTCTTGTACCTTCCAGTTTCCACAACTGAGCCAGTATCTAGCTGTGAATGACTGCACTAAGTTCATTAGCAGATCACCATTTATCTTGAAAATATAATCCTATACTGTCATTTTCATTTGTCTCTGGCCTGGCTGGAAATGTTCTTTAGAATGATTTTTTTTTTTCCTAATGCTTACTTCCTGAGAATGCAGGCCAAACCTGAATTTTTAGGGGCTAAATTAATGTTGAATTCAGGGAAAAAAACAAACAGCATTCATCTTATCTGTAATTTTTCCCTGAATTTTCCAAGGTTTCAATGAAGTGATTTTTTAATCACGGCTCTCCCCTTTCTCTTCAGACCCACTCTTTTTCCATTTGGAAAATTTAAAAAATAAGATCTGAAATGGAAAAAGAATACACGCTTACACAAAACTGAGAATTGCCATTAATTTATATTCCTCAAAAAAGGCAAGGACACAAGAGATTAAAAATTGAAGAAAAAAACAAACTCTCTGGAAAGAAAGATAAAGAGTATGTTCACACACACACTTTTTGGAGAACTTCTTTTGGAATTTTTTAAAAACTGTTTTTAAGTTAAATAGACAATACTGGGTTTAAGATTATGTTTATGGAACTGAATGCTGATAGTTTTATCTGCTCCCAGTTTCTCAGATTTGCAGAGAGATCCAAGTCAAGTTAAAAAGTAGTAGCCTGCTGATGAAATCAATACTTGCTGCACTTTCTTTTCTCCTTCAGTTTCTCATATAATTTCCCTCAGCTGAGGCAATAGCTTGCCTCAAAAGCATGGATTAAAGGTGCTGTATGTCATCCTAAGCTCACCCTTTAATTCAAATTTGGGACTGGTGATTTATGAGCTAGAAATATTTATTCTTTTTAATTGTTTTAGGTTTTCTCTGCTCACAGTCTCAGTTTGCACTTTTAAACTCATGAAAAGAGCCAGGCTTTACTGGATTGAGCACAAGACTGACTCTGAGCAGGTCATTCCTCTAGTCTGTCTGCAAGCTGCCAAAAGGATGTGTTGCTGTGACTTAATTGATGAGCTATGAATATATGCTGGCACTTGCAAAGCATTTGGATCATGTTGAAGTGGTCTACAACTCCCAAGTGTTAGACTTGCAAAGGCAACAGAGAGTAGGATCTGGGGCTTTGAAACAGCCAGCTGTTAAATTTGAAAAGCCATCTCTTCATCCTGTCCAATGTGCTGGTGGGTTGAAAAGCTTACTGCAACTCTGGTCAGGATATGGAAAAGCTAATCTACTAGCATGCCCTTTCTATGTACTTTCTGTAATATATTCCATGTATAACACTAGTAGTTTATAATTTTGCATGGTCAATGTACATAATTAATAAGTAGTTTACCTTTGTATGGGGTTAGAGTGGTTGTTATTGCATGATATTTTTGTATTTTTTTTATTATCATATTTCACGTGACTCTGTGTGATTTTCATTTCTGAATAAGCTGTTCATTCCTGTACTTGCATGTTTTCCCTTTCCAATTATCTAAGAAAAAGCTTGACTTTGTTTCAAAAATCAGTGCATTTTGTCATGTTTCCATGTCCCAATGCTTCCATGCATCCTGTTTATCCAGCATGGGGAATTTCAGCTCTGTCTTTAAGTTTTCATTTGAAGCTGAAGATGTTAACTTACAAGGTAAGTTAGGAAAAAGTAAGCCATCCATTTAGAATTAAATGAAAGATTCTCTCACTTTTGCAAGATCTACATCACTTTTGTAAAGTTAAATTGATATTTCGCCTTTTTTATTTTTGATTTTTTAAAGTCATTTGGCTGGAGATTCTTTCTTAAAACAAGGGTTCATTTATACTGGTCTCTGGAATGGAGAACATTGTCCAGTGTTCACTGTGAGTTGGTAGATCTCTATAGGTCTTTTACTATGCTTAAAACCTAAAAATTCCTGCATATATCTTTACAGGAAAGAGTGAGGTTTTGCTGTACATCATGTGAGACCAGTTTAGCATTACTGTGAATTTTTAATTGGACTGTAGTCAAAATCATTCACTACATTGTTATTATAGTGGTATGATGAACAATACTTTCACAACATGTCTTTTCTTCCATTTCTTTAAAGGTGGTGTAATTGTAGGTGAGTTTGTATAGATACACATCTATGATTATTCTGGCCTTGCATATTTTTCATGTTGTTGCATGCAAAGATGCAACTTTGCTAAGGAATTCCACTGAAAAAAACACTATTTTCTACATTAAAAAAAAATCTGTTTTTGGCATAATTCAGAGAAATCTACAAGAGACAGGGGCAGAATCTGACATATTTATTTTTAAAAAACAAAACCTCAGTGAAGGTTAAGAAAATGTGGAACATTTTTCTACTACTGATGTTTTCTAGTCATTATAATAAATAAATGAACAGGAATCTCACTATTTGAGAGTGTTGTGAATTCTGAATAAATACATTTTACTTATATAATAAGTGACAGTGTATGTAATTCATGTAAATATCATAATCTTCCACATAAAATTCACTACTTTTCTTGTCCAAGTGCCTTGGCCTTTAAGTTGCTTGTTGATGATAATTACTTGCAGGTAACATTGGCAACCAATGGCAAATCTGCAGACTTCAATGTTGTTGAAGAAGAGCCTTGGAAACGGGAAAACTAAACGAAGAGGTTCCTAGCTGCATCCTTAATAAGTCCTGAAGCTATCTTGTGGCAGAAGATACCATGATTAAGAAGATTTCTCTTTTTTTTTTTTTTTTTCCTATTTAACATCTACAGTTTCTGCTTAATTTTGTAACTGAAACTTAGCAAAGATCTCATCAAGTCATTGTAGTGTCTTTGCCAAGCAATGATCCATAGCCATCTGTCTCCCTTGTGTTACTGTTTGGATGATGCACCTGGAGAGTGCTCCATGCAGTGCAATGCGCTCTCACCCACTTCCCCTTTCATTCAAGACACAGAGAATGTAAATGCTGCAAAATGGGAAGATCAAAGTGCCAGTACAGTTCACTACAGGGACTCAGGGTCACAGATACAAGAGAAACATAACACCACGTAAGCCTTCAAGTGTTTTGGTGACTCTTGTGGCATACCTGATCTGTTTATCACTGTATGGCTAAAATACCTTTTGAAAACATCCGTACAGATTTCCATTTGTTTTGACAATAACAAGCACTGTACTTTTGTGCCTAGTTGTACTTTAAACTGAGCTTAGATCCGGGGCAGGACTAATGCATAGAAGTCATAAATTGTCCCAGACATTTTGTTAGATCAGTACAACTAAAACTTAGCATCAAGAGAAGACCTTCAATTTGTATATGCATGTGGCATGGTTTTATCAGATGTCCCAGGGCAGGTACAGCCTTTCTTTTATGCTGGGGCTGTGCTGCTTTGTGACCATGATGCACCATACAACACAAGGCAGTATAATTCCAGGGGTAGTAGTTCCTTCACTAAAATCTATGGCTGAAGTGCAAAATACAGAAAACCATGGACTCAGTTGTGCCATTTTTAATCAAAGTAGGTGGTACCTTACTATTCACCCTGCTCCACTGTTGTCAGAGGGGTTTCTGCCGTGCATGGGATACCCAAGTAAGGTACTACTAAGATTGATTATGGATGTCATGAGGGGTACTTGATAATGAGCTGCAAACAAGTTCTGAACCCATTACTCTTACAGAATTTTTGAATGTGATCCTCAGTAGCATTTGCTATGAAGTGAAAGCCATCTTTTGAGTCTGCCATGTTTCATAGAGTGGCTAAATCCTGAATTCATTGCTAAACCAAATTCCATATAAAGTTAAGAGAATTTGTCCAGGGTTAGGACTGAATAAAAATGAAACCAGAATTTCAGGATTTAGGCCAGTACGTTGAATTACATCTCTGTCTCTTTTGCAGAGTAATAACTATACAACTCCCTAATGTCAGAGAAATGTTTATTTGAGCACATGGCATCTGAATTAATGAGACAATGTTTGATCAACATACTATATCTGACTCAGCCTGTCAGAAGAAATTGCAGTGAGAATAAACACCTTGTGAAATTTTTTTAAAGGTGCTTGTTAATACTTAGCAATTTTAAGATACTGGTGAATACCATTATACTGTTAGCAATGTTCCATAGCAAAGCTGAGCCACGTGGTCTTGGAAGGTTCTTCTCACAGAACAAGCTTTGTGCAATTGGGGGGAGCTCTCAGAAGTTTTCAGAATGAATCAAAATATGAGCATATGGTGGGCTTAAAAATGGCAAGAAACAGAGTTCAAACATTTATGGAAATAGGCATTCAGTGTCTATGTTCAGACCTGTCATGGGTCTAAAGGGGAATAATGTGTTTAACTGTAGTGTTATTTGGCTCTGTAGAAGCTATTGAAGTAAAAATATAATCTGCTTTTGTTCATCTGCATTCATATAAATATCTCTGAAACTGCACACGGACCTAAGCCAGCCAAGGCTGCTTGCATGATTGATGATGTGCAAGATCAAGTCCATTGTCTGAGTATCCCTCATTTAAGCATTTATCGTGGAATATTTTTTCTTACCACTGTATTTTTGTCATCACTTGAATGTCATGGCCAAGCAAATCCTAAGCAAAATGGCCTATATAATTTAACCAATATTGAACCACTGTGAATTCTGTAGGCCTCTAACATGTGTTAGAGGGGGAGGCCTTTCCCAAAGGCCTGCTGAAGGATCTTGAGGATTTAATTTTTTTTTTTTTTTTTTTTGTGAAGGATGGAATTGTAGATTATTCAGAGAAGTGGCAGGCAGGTTGTATTCCCTTTTCTTCAGTCATTGCTATTGCATATCCAGAGTTAACCTCTGTCTAGCTATTGCTTCCCAAGTAGCATTCGCTGGGTTATGGGCCAGAAATGTGCCTGGGATGGTGTGTAGGTACTGTAA